AAAAAAAATTCTGCCACATCATCACATTTTAAATTCCTGTATAAGACCTGTGAAAGTGCTCCTGTACTCCTAGCAATATTCTAATTTGATTTGTGAATCTATTTGGGAAACCATTTCTCGATATTATAAATACCCTTTCAACTTCTGATCATCAGCCCCAAATCACCATGGTTGCACCCAAAATCAAGAAAATGCCAAGACAAAAACAAGAATCTGATAAGGATAAACTCAGTAGTTTACCAGACTGTATTTTGATTCATATACTGACCTTTATCGATACAAAATCAGCTATCCAAACCTCTGTGTTGTCCAAGGGCTACAGACTTTTGTGGACTTCACTTCCATGTCTTGATTTCAAGTTTCATGGATGTTCTGTTGATCGTTTTTTGTCGTTTGTTAACCATGTTCTTGAACGTAGGGAACACAGTAATCTCAGTATGTTTCGTCTTTCGTTGAAAACGCAGGTGAATTCGGCCTTTCTTGAAAATTGTATTTCTTATGCGGCGAAACACAAGGTGGAACATCTAACAATCCGGGCTTGCTCTGATGAGGATTCGCCACTGACATTGCCAAGTTTGTTGCTTAACTCCTCATCATTAACAATTTTATGCCTGAATAACGTGTCATGTTATAGTATAATGTTGCCAAAGTCGCTTGCATTGCCAGGATTAAAGGTTTTACGGCTAAAAAATTTTGTGTTTTGGGACGAAAACTATAATGTTTAACTTTTCTTGGGGTGTCCTAATCTTGAGACATTGATTTTGAATAAGTGTTCGATACGGCCGGATGGTGAAGTTAAGATTTTGGATGTAAAATGTTTGAACCTTAAGAATTTGGAGATAAGGCATTGGAGGAGTCCGTGGAAACGTTTTGATGAACACATTATTAAAGTAAATGCACCTAGGCTTTGTTCGTTTAAGTTTCAAGGTTATATTCCGAATGTAGATTTCAAAGAGGTTCTTTGGTGTTTAGATGAAGTTTGCATTGATTTGCATTGTCCAACTGCGTGTGCAATGGTAGATGTGAATGAGAGAAGGCGAAGGATGTCGGAATTTTGTATGAGTATGCTCCGTCAACTATGTGAAGTGAAGTCTCTTGTCCTATCACTGAACACGATTGAGGTATTTCAGAACTTAAATATTTATGCATGATATAAGAATTCTGTAATTTCAATTCATTGTCTAAGGACTTCGATCTCTAGCACAATTTGTAGCATTGAAGGATCAAATTTAATAACATATCCATTTTACTGAAGTTAAGGATAATAATTCCATTATCACGTTAAAATTTAAAATCATAAAAGCAGATTATTTATATGTTAAGTTTTCCATGCAGTTCTAATTTCGAACAGTATTCGGGATCATCTGTTTCTGATTATGTACTTATTAATGTACTTCGACTTTCCATAGGTTCTATCTGCCATTCCTTATTTACAAGTATATGGACCTTCTACATTTCACAATTTGAGGTATATAAAGTTCAAGGCAGAGGATAAACATACAGAGTTGATAATTCCAATTAATACTGTTACGCCCTTATTGGAGGGTGTCATCTCTGAGATCATACTGGATTTGGACGATAGTAAGGTATAATGCTTATCTTCTGAGCATACTTTTTCTCTTTACTTATGTCTTGAAAGATTAGATGTTGTGAATTTGTCAAATCATAATTGTAAAAAAGAATTCGAACGCACGAACCCAAATTGATTCTTTAGAGAAAAAATGGAAAAATTTGTTTAAATTGGTTTCGTGATTACTCATTTACAGGAGCAGCAACTCTTGACAAATGTTAAGCGTTCAAGGATAAAAGTTATGTGCAAGGATGCGATGATCTCTATACCTGTACATGTCATGTCCTACTTCCCAGAAAGCTCTCCTTCTGCAAAACTTTTAATTGTTGAACTCCAAAAAGGTATTTCCCATTTGAGTGAATCGAGCAAAACACATGGGATGTGGATTTATCAATTCAGTGACTATCATGTTCATACTTTTATCTCAGGTGTCATCCGACAAAATTTCAGGAAAAAGATGTTCACAAGAAAATTGATGTATTGTCATGCCGGGATGCACTAACAGAGTCTGTCTGTAACAACTATTCATAAGAATGCCGTGGTTTGATATTAGTTTGTGATTTTTGTATTTTCCATAGGCTTAGCATAACGAAGAATGTGCCGTAAACTGTAAAATCTCTCTTTTTATCCAAGTGTTATAGGCAGGCTTGTAGAAGAATTAAATTCCTCTTAGGAATTTTGAATGATGAAATTTGGTATTAGACTTTCTAATTTGCGTGTTCTTACGAATTTCTTGAGCTATTGCAGGAAATTGTGAATTAGACAGGACGATGGGCAAAGATGTTTATCATTTTTTAGTTTTTTTTTTCTTTCAATGATGTCTTGTACTATGCACGCCAAATGAACCAGAAGTGGAACAATCTTGCTACATGTACGCCTCTCTTTACACCCTAGCTTATCGAATTTACACTTGACACAATCTGGTACCACTTTTCATATCTCACATTTAATCAAACTATTATAAAATTGTCACATCGTCCATTGTCAACCAAGTGGTAAAGAAAGGTGTGCAAATAGCTTTATCTAAAGTGGAATAAATTTGAACGTGAGAGACTCTTCAGAAAATTAGCATGATCTTCTCGTTGACAGAATGTATTTTCTACTGCTGCACTTTTGAAAATTCAGTAAAATTTATTGTGGCATCCATTAATGTTTGATATCACTAGGATAATTGAAGCAAAGTTAGGATTCCAAGGGTGGCAGACAAGAAGCACGGGCACGTGACATGGACATGGCAACTAGGATACAAGACAAAAGCGTCTACATACGATTTTAAGAAAAGTAGGACATGAACATTGGTAGACGTTGATGTAAATTCTTCATAAGGTATAAAGCTATTTATTATATCTTCAATCATACTATGCTGTCAGGGAAGGTTCACGCTCACAATAGGAGAGCATTTTTTGGCATTTTTTACTCATGCGCATTCCACGTGCATGTGAGTGTAGGTCAATCAAGGTGTCAAACATTTTCTGATAAAAGAGCTTTACTCTTATATCTTTGTTGTTGTTTTATTTTTCAATAAAATCCCTAATTTCTTTTAGAGTGAAATCTTTTGGCACAAAGTGTCTATTTTGTATTAAGACGCATTTGGGATTATACAATATATATTTATTATATTTAGTGCTGTATTCTAAAAATTAAAAAAATGAGCTTTTTCGTGTCCTTCATGCATCATAGATGTTGCATATATGTTAGAACTATCACGAACATGAAAAATATAAGACTACATGTTGAACACATGCCTGAGGTGTGTTCCAGAAATGTTTCTTAAGCGTTAAGAGACTTAAAAGTATAGAATATTGGACGTGTCAAAGTATTTAACAAGTGTTAGCATACAATACACATAGACGCTTTACAAAATCACTTCAGTCAGTTTACAGTTTAAATAAATCAAACAACGAATGCATAAGAGTGTAGAAGACAACACTACTTGGGCTAGCATCGTGCAATAATTGGCACGTTAAGTAGGAAGGATATGATAGCTCTATATAGTATTAAGAGAACAAAGTTATGATTTTGATCATTACGCTATCCAATCTTGTGTGGTAGCAAGTGCAAAATTTGATAGCATTGCATAGTATTATTTATGGAAGAAAAAGTGACTTGAGATCTTTTTCGTTATTTCGCCTAAATGTGTTGAGTACTGTGTACATGAACAAAAGGTTTTGCCGGAGGACATGTAGGAAATCTAGCTTGGTTTGGATAAATTCTATGCTAGTTGTTGATCGCAAATCGGTCATATGCTGCTCTACAAGGCTGATAATGGAGGTTAGATACAAGAAGACAACAATAAATTAAGTCTCGTTTTTAATAAATTTGAAATCGACCCATATAAATCTTTTCTCACCACTCAGTTGTTTATAGATAATGAAGGTTACATGCAACTTCCATATAGGACCTTCTACCTCGAAAATAAAAGACCAAGCTACCTAAGTGCTTGCCTTCCCAAGTAACCATAATATCTAATTAACATGGATGATGGTTGAAACTCGATTGCACCGCTTGCTTCTGATCCAATTTTGAAGTGTCTCTGGTGATTGGCATTTGCTTCAGAAATGAATTCTGCACCTTGAGGAGGTTCTTCTCGAAGGACTCAATAACAACATATGTAAATCTTATTCTCATAATTAAGTACGAAATCATTTATGTGAATTTTTCTTTTGTTGTTTCTATTAATGTAGCTAACCCCAAATTAGGGGTATTCATGACCCATGTTTTGTTGTTCTTTATGCACTTTGCCTCGCAAAATTTTTATTTCGAGTTTGAGCTTGATGTAATAAAACAATTTTTGTTGCCTTGTAATTATCAATTAAATAAAAAGTTATTTTATTTGTCGATTCTTGCATGTCCTGCACACCACGGTCGTGCTTGCTGATGGTGCACCTTTCGTGACTACTTCCCATCTATCACTTGAGATGATAAAAACTTGCTTTATATCTTAATAAATTTAATATTCAAGTTGATTGGTTGCAGAAAAAGGATATATGCAACTTATTAAAATTTATTGAGAACTCCCTCAAAAAATAATTTGTTGAGAACGAAGGTAAATTTGTTTGTTGTCATCATTGTCACAACTTATATAACTTGTAATGAACCTGAACCGAACGAGGTATAAAAATAGATTCAGTAATGCAATTCATAGTAGGTCACTGCAGCAGTCGCCCTATGTGGCATATACATGACATGTAGTTATTTGATACATTAATGTGGTAGTTTTTTGACCACATTAATGCATTAAATACACACTTGACATGTGTGTGCTACATAGGGCGATTGTTGCAGTGAGTGCCTGCAAATAGCATTATTCAAATAGATTAATGTAATTAACCCTAACATAGATTTGGGAATATAATTTAGACTTTTGTAGCCGACCCCAAAGATATGTGGTCAGCCCCAAAAAAACATTCCTCGAACAAATATAATTCATTTAAAATCGAAATAAACGCCTACAAGCTTGAAGAATCTTGCCTTTCTTCTTCTTGGCTCTTGCCTGTGAATTCAAGTGTTCATCATCATCATGATCAGCAGTTAAATCAATCTGGTGATGGATTCTACTATACCCTTCAGACACTGAAGAAGATTTCTTTAAAGAAAACGACCTCTTCACCACTGTTTGAATATATGATTTCTCAGTCACGTCCTTGTGAGAAGGGACAGAACATTTTCTCTTCAAGAGTTCTCCAAAGATCTCTCCTATGTCATCCTCAGTTTCGTGTTCGGCTATCGAATCCGGCATTCTGGGATTGTTTTGGGGGCTTTTTTGTTTGATATCCATGGATTTGGTGGTGTTTTTAGCAATGGATCTTGGTGTATGAGATGGGAAAGAAATATCAGAAAGATCTATAGAATTTGATCTTGTTTTACTAACTTGTCTGATTCTTGAGTATGAGCCACTCATTTTTTCCAAGAAAATCTGGATTTTCTTGAGTATGAGCTACTCAATTTCAGTGGAATTGGAAAGAAATAAGACGAGAGAAACTAAAATAAGAAGTCAATTATATATGGAGAAGACCCATAACATGCAAAAGTGATTGACAGAAAATAAAAAGTGATGCCATGTTCTGGAGGAGAGTGAGAAATATTAGTTTAATTTAGACGAAGCCAATATAGTAATAGAAAATGGGGTACTTTTCATTCGGCCAAGTCAAAATTGCCATTTTCCACTTTGACTAAAAAATTTAACATTCAACACAATGATCAAAATATGCATAAAAGACAAAATTATCCTTAAAATATTATACAATTACAAAAATATAGTACTGTGCAAAAGACAATAATACATTTTTTAAGTTATAAAGAATTCCAAACATTCCCAATTAAAATTTCAAAATTAAATCACTTTATTTATCTGTTTACTCCAACACAGATAAAAATTGTTTCATTTTTCATCTACTTCAAACTTGAAAACAATAAATTTATCAAACACTCAATAAGAAAATATTATTCACATCCATCAGTGGAATCGATAAGTATATTTAAGTATTTTTAAATTCGTTTCGGTTAAATTAGTACATTATTTTAATCTTTAAATCTTATTTCGACATAAGTATATGAAAATTTTACGATCTTGAATATTAAACATTTTCTTCTCTTTTCAATATGTAAAGCATTTACCAACAAAACACTCGTCTTCACCTTGCTTTCCAGAACTTGATTTGAAAATATAACAATACAATCAATAAGTAGCATCTTTTTCTACACTATACTCCAACCAAGAAGGATTGAATCGTCTAGCTTTTACTCCAAATTGTCGTCTTGAAAAGTCATGATCTTGTAGTTGACAAGGACCCTTTAACATATATGCTCTTCGAACTTGATCTCGGATGTTAGCATTGAAATATTGAGAGAGTTACGGAAATCAAATTAAAGTGAGAAATGGTAGTTGAAAGTTATGGAAAACTAACTTCGATGCCAAATAATGTTGGCACATTTAAATTAGTCAATGGAGAAACATTACATCTGTAGACGGTTTTTTCCTCACTTATATCTTGTGCTATGTCGTCGGAATTATCAAAGTATAAATGTATGCATGTATTAAAAACTACGTTATTTATAAGTAACAAAGACATATTCAATCCAACATGTTATAAGGAGTCCATTCCAAACTTGTTCTCCACGTACATTTTTGACATTCCAACACATCACCGCCTCTTAAAAGGAAATGATAAAATGTTAAGGTGTCAAAAAGTATGTTTTGTCTTCCCATTTGCTAATAAGAATTGTCGAGATGTATTAGGGACAACTAATGGAATAGTAAGTTCAAGATAACAAATCCAACTCCGCTATAAGTTTACTATTCTAATTAGCCAGAAGGACTATATTCATGGAGTTACGCAAGTATCAAATAGATTTAGCCTTCATCCGGCTAATTTATAAATAATTTGTAAATTATTTATAAATGGTCAAACTTTATTTTCAAACACACATTTCAATTAACCCACATATATTATCAACTTATTTGCAACTCATTTCTATATATTTGTAAATTAAACCATTTATAATTTTTTTCTCAAAACTTGGAATTTGGAGAGAGCTATGAAAGTCAAATTAGAGTAGAAATGGTAGTTGAAGTTGTGGAAAAACCATCTCTCTATTGTCATATAATGTTGGCACAATAAATGAGTCAATGGAGAGTATTAATATTTGTGTGAAATAGTAGAAGACGGACTTTCTTAGCAGGGACGGACCCAGCACCCGGCCAAGAGGGGCGGCTGCGCGTGCTGGGCTCCGCTGGACCGCCAGATTTGGGAGTTCTGACTTCTGCCGCCTGGTCTCTCTAGTTTGTCTTCTTCACCCGATTGCTGGTTTCCATTTTTTTTTTTTTTTTTTTTTTTTTTTTTTTTTTTTTT